TTGATCTGATGTGGGGGGAGAGGGGTAACTTACAAGCGTAATAAATAGCTGCTCAAAAAGTTCGGCGGCTGGAATGTCTTCCAAAGAATTCAAGATTCCTTCCCTGTTATAAGTTTATTGAACAACGGGCAAGATCGACATGAGTGACCAAATAGAGAATCCACTATGTCTAAGATGACATGCCATTGACACTTACACAGCTAAGTCTTCATCAAAGAGAGGTGCTTGTTTAACGGCAGGCAGTGGTTTAGCTGTTTCCCACAGCTCGCGCCATAAATTACCTAAATAATATTCCAGCTATGATTTAACAACAGAAATAACTGAGGCACACATAAATCATGAGGGAAAGAAATTGGGAGAAAAGCTTGCACCTTCTTTTTGCATACGGGTACTTAATTGACCTCGTAGGGGCGAAGAGTCATCTCCAGAAGAGGTATCATTTTCGGTCCAGTCTGGAGGCGAGTGCCATCTCACAAAGTCTTCCAAAATACACCCAGGATTTGCTGCCTATTATAGAAGTAGAGATAGAATCAATTTCGGATCAGCTACAAGCGCTAATATTCCAACATCAGTAGAGATTATTCAATTTTAAATAATCACCTTAAAGGCCTGCATGTCAGACAAGAGTTGAGAACATCCAGCCCCCATGCTAAACCATAAGAAAGACAACAATCCAATCTATCAAGATAATTGGATATCTGAAAAATGTCTGGAATATTAATGAATGATAACCAGATAAAATGTCCACTATTTTCCATTTAACACATTGTTCCTGGTCTTTTAATGATCAACTCAGAATAAAGAAGTAGATTGATTAAGATTCACAACCTATAGAAAAACTATTGCTCTGCCATATGAATTTCATGTATACATATAAGCGATCGCACTCACCTCCCTGTTCGAAGTACTAGTTCCTCTGTTTCTCTGATAAGATCTTCCGTCAACAGCGGACCTTCCTACATGCATATAAACACTATGACTTAAGAGATAAAGAATATAGCTACAGTTTTATCAGCTAAGACAGAAGTTGACAGAAGTTACAGACCTGTGTTGTCGGGGCATACACAGGTTCACCAGTCTCCAACATTGTTAAGTTCTCAACTTGGTGATGAATACCTAGGCGGAGTATGGGTTCGCCGGTGTTACTTTTAGCATACAAAAGAGAAACTGGAGAACCCATTGTTTCTGAAACGTCCGACCCTTCATTGACTGAATTGGCTTGCCTCATTACAGCATCTAATTCTTCAGAAGCAGCTAAGTAGTGCGCTTTCCTAGCGAGACAGCAGTTTAGAACCTGTAACCATTGGTGAAGTAGGCAACTTTTTAAATCTGGCTTCTCATCCAGAGGTATCCATGGTATGTGCTTCTCTTCATTCCAAAATCTCCTTAACTGCACATGCAGATGATTTGAGAGAGGTTACCAAAAGAGCTACAATACGTCACATTTTGTTGCAGTGACTTATCAAAGGAACATTCACCAATATGTGAACTATCCACTAATATTAATTCACACGCTAATCACAGAGTGAAGAAGAAACTAAAATAAAGAAGGATATTTTCAAGCCATAGATTCGTAACACAATAACTTACTTCATCAACAACCCTGCACCAGAACAAAGCCATTCTCTTTGTTGTTGTAAAACTTCCAATTACTTCAGCTAGCTTAACAACAAAGCTACCAGGAGGAGCAGCATGAATATCTTTTGCGAATGAAGCTCTGTTGTTAGGAGACTCCAAATCAGATACAATCATTCTGCTGAGGAAGTTACCATCTGTAAATAATTTGCCAAAATTACAAAAAACACTGGGAGAATAAATAGTAGTTTGATGAAGAAAACTTTTCCCTGTGTAAGGCAAAACCTACCAACATTAAACAAGGCATTTATTAGAGAAACAATTTTGTCCTCATCTCCTGAATCAAAACCAAGCTTATCCTCTTTTTCACCAAGAACCAGCAATTTCACCGCAGAGAGGCTCAATGCCCCCCTCTCCCTCACTGGTGATGAACTTCCAGACGATGCAACAAAGTCTTTCACAGTCTTAGCCCTTTTTCCAGCTCTGACAAAAAAAGATGTCATAAAGACATAATGAGAAGGAAGATCAGAACATCGCAAAGTGCTTTAGCCAGAGAGTACATAAATTGGTAAACACATGCATCAGCCTCATGGATTAATTACAAATTCAAACCTCCGTAAGTATAATTGAATCTTCTAAAAAGAACTTAACCAGAAACTACATAAAAAAGAAAAAGGGAAAGATTGAAACTGTTACTACTTTATACTGTATCAAGACTCACTCTATTGCTACAGCTAGCTGCTTCACAATGGATGCCGGAGGAATGCTGCTCACATCAACAGCATTTAGAGATTCTACCAAGCAGCCGACATCAGATGCCTAGAAATTGGCGTCAAAAGAAGAAAATATAATCATTTAACACAGAGAAGCAAACAAAATCTTGACTACATGAAAACATCCTGTATCAGCACAAGTGATCTGAACCATTGATACCTTGGCTTCCTGTTCTTGCTTCGCTTTGAGAATGAATAAATTTTCGTCATAAAAAGGGGCAGCCATGGCTGAATCCTCAACTTTCTCTTGATCTTCGACTTCTTTCCTCCCAATTCTTAAGTTCTTCAGTTTATTGTGCCACTCTTGCTTTTTTCTAATATGTGCAGTTCTCCATCCTTGATGCTTCACTTCATCTTCCTCCTGTGTCCAACATTTCCAGTTAGCAGAAAACTCAACAATGTACTTATGGACAACACTCACATAGCATTCCACTTCACCATGAAGATGCGAAAGCGCCTAAAAACGCTTATAAATTAACGCTACAGCTCTTTAACAGTCTCAAAATGGTTCAAGTAAACTAATTTTCAATCCCAAAAATTCAAATACTACATGTTAAATCATTCGAAATGTACAATCTTCACATCAATGATACTCATTTTCCCCAGATTTTCTATAAACGAAGCTAATTACTCCACAATTTCAGATTTGTATTATATGCAAATGATCCAACCTTAGAGTCATTCTCATTCCTCGCTGATTGCTTCTCCGCCTCTTCAACGATTCAAATAAACAAAACACTAAAGTAAATCAGATAAACATCACCAGAAACAAAAGAATACCGAAATAGAGTTGAATTTGACTCGAGAAAGACACCAAAAAAACGATAGAAATAGAATTGAATTTGACACGAGAGTGAACCCAAAAATAGAATTCGATTTAATCAAAAACGCAAGAGAAAAGGTGTAAAATCAGAGGTCGAGCGATAAGCGTCAATACATCAGTCAAATTTTAGTAAATGGAAAAGAAAAAAAAAACAACAAAATTGAAGCGGAAGCTACGGGAAGAGAGAGAGGTACCTCGATCGGATTTGAGATCAGTGAAGACGCGCTCCGCTTTAGCCGCGGCGGAATTGAAGGCGGTTCTAGCTTTCGAGACGAAAGACGGCGACGCCGTCTCCATTATCGTGCGCACCTGTACGTGCGCAAGTTAATAAAGTTGCGCCGTTCGTCAACGACACGGCATTGAAAGGATTGAGGAAAAAGAGAAGACGAAGAAGAGATCAACGAGGCGGAAAAGAAAAGAGGTTCCCAAGGAAAGTCTCTGTGGAGAAGCAGACGAATTTCACCAAGACAAAAATTGTAAATATTTAAATTTTTTTTTTCTTCTAGATTTATTAGTAGTACAAATGAAATGAGATAGACTAATGTTTTCTGCAATATACAAGTTATGGTATAGAATTTAATATGGAGAAATTGACCAATCCAAATCGTTGCCTAGGGTAAAGCCACTTTGATAAATCTGACCTTTTCTTCTATGATTCGAAATCGAATTAAAAAAAAAAAAAGAAAACAATGGATGCTATAGAAACATTTCATATTATTCTGTAGATACTTTTTTTTTTCCTAATGAATCAGATGATTTCTATTATAATTTGTTCCGTCGGGCATCACTAATGGTTTACACCATTTTTTATACCAAAATAGTAGTAGGTTTTGTTCTAATGTATTACACCATTTTTTACATCAAAATGGAATATTTTTAGTAGATTCTCTATTTCAATTCTTTAAAATTTACGAATCAACCTCATTTTTTTTAAGTTTAAAAAAATTATGAAATAATTTAAATTTAACATTTATTATATAAAAGAAATACATTGTAACATATAAAATTAAAAAAATATATTAAACTTTTGCTTAATTATTATCGAACATATTAGTTTTGGGTTTAACATCACAATTTTTATATATTTTTCATTAATTTTAAAGTTGATTAAAATTTGAAAGATTTTGTTATAAATAAATAAATTCAACACCAAAATGGTGTAAAACCATTTTTACACCTAGGTTTACACCATATTTGGTTTTGGAAATGGTGTTAGGTTAGAGAAGTTTGTACCCCAAAAAATAGATTTGGTGTTGGGTTGGAGATGCCTTTGCGTGATTATATAC